GGAAAGGAGATTGTAAGTCGCTCTGAGACTCCTTTGGGTACTGAAGGGCGGGGTATAAATCCAATCTCTTCTTCTTCTCTTCTAGAGATGCCCTTTCCAGAGTCTTTTTTATGTACAGTCTGGTGTGGTCTGTGCCTGTGGCAACCCTATATCGTTCCCCTTTTTTAATTAAAGAAAATTTGGCACTATTAAACTTCTTTTTTTGTCTCTCCCTCTTCTAATAGATGGATTCCCAGTGTGATGGATGAGAATTTTCCTGCCACTATCATCTCTCAGTACTATGATAATTTTGTTGGCTTGGACAGGAAACTCAAGATGATGGATTTCACTTTGTTTCATGTTTTCATTTTAATAACTGTAGTGATTGGGGTGAAGAATGGGATGGATTAATGTGGTCATTCTTTGTAAGGTTGGCTTGGAATATTTTCATTCCGTGGAGGTTGCTCCTAGTCATCAAAACAGTAGGATGTCTGCAGCTACTAATGTGATCTCACTGCATGCCAGAGATTCTTGGCCGACTCTTGCAAAATTGAAGACCAGAATTCTTAGGTAAAACCCTGGCAGTTAAAACTTACAGAAGACTTTTCAAGTATATATGTCTTTTGCTTTCCATTTTGCACCATGGAGTGATAAAAAGTTGAACTTTCTCTTCTGTGTCGTTTTCTTTCTTCCAATTCAGATGCCCAGATTCCTTGGTAAAGGGAAAATGCAAGGCATGGCTGGAACCATCACAGTAGTGGTTCACAAGGCACAGACAATAAGCTTATTTGGTTAACACCATCAATACTGCAGTTGCAAAATATCTCCTTTCAAACAGCAATAATCCATAGGCCATAGGCAAGCTAGGGGCCATCTCCCTGTGCCATGTGGGCCTTGGTTGATCTGGATGCTGCATGGGCTTTGCATGGACTGGGTAAGCCGGGTGCTACTTCTCCTACTTGCATGCTTCCTCTGGTGGGCTGGGCACCTCCTTGCATAGGCAGGCCAGGTGCTGTCTCCCCACGCTGGCCCTTCACACCACTGGGCTGGCATGGTCCGAGTAGGGAGGGAGGCCATTGCCCCACCAGACAGGATTGCCAGGTCCCTTGTTGCACTGGGATGTCCCCAACACAATGGGATGTCCCCAACACAGTGATGTTACCCGGACGTGATGTCACCACATCAGAGATGTCACGTGGCGACACTTTATGGTAAGACTGGCTTCAAACCATGGAGTTTTGCCCTCAAACCAGAGCATCACCGCAAACCCCCCCCCCCAAACGATGACGTCACTTCCAGGTGATGTCACTGCATCGGGGACATCGCACAGCAATGTTGCTGCTTGGGGGTGGGGTTTCTGGCCCTACCACCACCACAAGTCTCAGTGGCCATAATGACCAATCTACCCCTCCCTTCTTCACTGTAAATTCCATCAATCCATAAAGTTTATTGCAGCACTGAATTCTTTCAGGTGAGTAGAGGTCTGCACCCATAAAGACTTGCAACACACACACTTCTAAAATCTGAAGTAGTGAGCAGTGACTCACGAGAGCTCCTACCCTGCCACAAATTTTGTTAGTCTTTATGGTGCTGCTGCACTCTTGCTCTTTTTTACTACTACAGACAGACAAACACAGCTACACGTCTTGATCTACTTCTAAAACGAGTTCTTGAGATTCAACTGTACAAAAATGAGAGGACTAGTTAAAAGGAAGCTGAAAGGAAAACACAAGAAAGTCAGATCCGTAGAGGATGCTTGGAAGCTATTTAAAACCACACAGATTGAGGCCCAGAGAGAATGTATTCCTCAGGTTAGGAAAGGCACTGCCAAGCCTAAAAGAATGCCTGCATGGTTAACAGTGTAAGTCAAGGAAGCTATAAAAAGTAAAAAAGGTTTCTTTTTAAAAGTGGAATTTCTGCCCCAATGAGTTGAACAGAAGGCACCACAAGTGCTGGCAAAATAAATGTAAGGTCCCGGTCACACGGAGGATTTGCCGCGGGAGAGGCACGAATGTCGGGCGGCGTATACGGGCACAATCACAAGGACACATCTGGCAAGCATAGCAAACCCATCGCTGACCCGTAGCATCCGCCCAAAGATCTGGAGTTAAAAAATACCCAGGAAAGCCTACTAGCAAACGGTTCGCTACGGGCCATCGACGGAATACCTATGTGTGATCGCTCAAGCACGCTCCTCTCGCCATGTTGATGTGCACCGGAAACACGTGCCGACAAACAAAACCCCGATTTGCCGCCACCGTGTCTGATCGTGTTCTGGTGCATTAAATTGCGCCGGCGTGAAAAGCCACGCCCTTCCATGTGACCAGAGCCTAAGTTAATAATTAGGCATGCAAAAGGAGGATTTGAAGAGCAGGTTGCTAAAAACATCAGGACAAACAATAAACATTTCTTTAAATATATCGAGAGCAGGAAACCAGACAAAGAAGCAGTTGGGTCTTTGGATGACCAAGGAGTAAAGGGATTTTAAAGGAAGAGATGGAAGAGAAGAATTTTTTGTATCTATGATCACTGTGAAAAGTATGCAGTATGTACCCATGCCACAGCCACTATTTTCAAGAAAAGAGTCTGAAAAGCTGAGTCATATTCAGATGAGGAGAGTTCTAGACCTATTGGGGGAATTAAAAACAATAAATCTCCAGGTGCTGATGGTGTACACCTGAGAGTTCTTAGGGAACTCAAACGTGAGGTGGTTGATCTACTAACCCGTTTATGTGACCTATCACTAAATTCAGCCATTGTGTTAGAAGACCGGAGAGTAGCAAATGTTACACTGATTTTTAAAAGGGATCCAGAGGGAAGCCCTTGCTGACAGCTCAACACTGTTTATCTGTGGGTGTAACAGTAATCATGTACCCCTTTGCCAGTTTGGCTTTCCTACATATATAGCACATAAACACACACATAGCTTCAACATATACATACACCATTAGTATAATTTAAAACAAGTAAACATTCAGAAAGCACATGCTTGCAACATGGGCACACAGTGGTACCTAAGAAATTATCCATACAATGTTAGCACAAGCAATGCCCATGCCACACTCTCATCTTTCATACAGACACAGAAATGGCAACTCTGGATCTATTGCTTGTCTCTCAGTAGAAAGTCCATCCCATATCCGCAGACACACCTAAGTCACACACATCCGTGCCTTAGATGCAGAAGTGTGCAAATCCATGTGGCCTTCCAAATCTTCAATACTCTTGCTTACGGTCAAGTGTGTGTGTGTGTGTAATGTTGTATATTATTACATAACAATACAATCAAAGCCCCATTTAATCAAACATCCCAGCTCCATATTCCTTATTTTTTTAAAAAATATCTGTGAAGATAGAATATACAAAACAGGCAAAGGAATTTCTTTATTTCAGTTATCCAAACAGAGCAGATATATGCAGGCAACACTCCATGTGCTGTATCTGAAGAAGCGAGCAGTGACTCACGAAGGCTCATACCCTACAGCATATTTTGTTAGTCTTTAAGGTGCTACTGGACTCTTGCTCTTTCCATGTTTCACAGTATCCCTCATCAGAGTTGGACTGACAAGAAGTACAATTTTACCTATTGTGTGTGTGTGTTGACTTTGATATGCTGATTAGTTTCCAAGCACACAAATTATCCCCTATTCTCTCTCTCTCTCTCTCTCTCTCTCTCACACACACACACACACCCCACTTCAAGTCATAATCAAAACTGAAGCAAAAGACCAACTGAAACTATGACCAAGTGAATTTCCAAATGGTGATGAAATGAATTAAAAAAAAAATAGAAGTCTTCTGTTATAAATTTATAGTGCTGGAAAAAAAAATCCAAGACAATCTAACATATATCCCACAGATCTGATGTGTTGGTAGCTGGTTAGGAATGGGCAAAACATCTTCTGATCCTGGGATCTTTCTTCTCCTCCTTCCATAAGAATCGACTCCCTTTCTTCAGTCTGGTCAGGCAAACAGTTCTTTCCACCTCTTCCTTGCCAGCCAAACTCAGGAACACAAAGTCTCCCAAGAATGCCGTGGCCATTCAGCAGCCCCGCACGTAGCCCAAACAAATGCAGCGTGTTCCTCTGATTGCTTTTCCATTCAAGCAGATTCAAAGCTGCGTGAACACACTGAGAGCACTTACGATAGATAGCCATCATGTCCACAATGCGAGATTCAACTCTTCTGTCCTCTTCTCTGTGGTCCAAGCACATCGGGTTTTGCAGGTTTTCCAGCAGACTTCAAATTGTACCTGGGGAAACCTGATTCCTCCTCCCTCAAAGATGACAAAGGCTATTCCCTTAGATGTGCCTGCAGCTGTTGCAGGTGCTCATTGGCTGGTGCCTGTGACATCATCGGAGCCACAGTCCCTCCCTGCCTCCAAATCTCTGGAAGAGTTGTGTGGCTGTTTTTAAAGCGGCATTTAATAAGACAAATGCATTACATCTTACATATGCGGAATCTTAATTTTGAAACTCAAGGCGCTCTTTATGAACAGTGTACCTAAAACACACACCTGGTCCCTTTTGAGAACACAATGCAACCTCTCTCATTCCCTTTCACAGTGATGCTCCAACATTTCAAGAGCATTTTCTTATTTCTTAAAAATCCGTTTTCCATTGAACAGATTGCACATTCTTCCCTTCTGGCACGAAAGCGGAACATCTCCTGGGCTCCTCCAGTAAACAAGTCTTAGCCTCTGCTGCAAATTTATCCTCAGTCCTTGACTCCTCTTTTGTTCCGTTTACATGGTTATCCAGCTTCAGAAGCAGGATTGGAATTAGAGCCACCTTAACTGAAAGGGAGAATTTTTGCTCCTGTTGTTCCCAGAAGAGTATACAGCCACAGAGTTGTTTGCTCAGCAAGTTCAGGAAAACGCTTGTTGATGTCCCAGAGAAGGAGCGCCAGGTGGAAGGCCGCTAGCCAGCTAAGGCACAAAGGACTCATTGTAGGGGGATATTTGCGGCATCAAGAGGGTTCTGTTACAATTCTCCCTGTCTGCAGACTCATCTTGCAAACAAGACTCACATCTGCTTGGAAGTAAATCAAAGAGGAGATAGTCTGGTTCAGGGATGGGCATAACAAGGGTCCCAAATTTCAGGCATACTCGTAATCCTTAATATTGGTTTAAAAATAATATCTAGGACCCCCAACAAAAGAAGACAGAAAACAAGACAGTCAGTCATTGCCTGCAGACACAACATTTAATTATTAATAATAGAACAACGAACAGCTAGATTGGGGCAGGCATCCCTTTTGGCCCAAATGCCCCCAAACCTGTTGGAAGTTCCAGCTGTGATGTCCCTGCCTCAGCCTCCAGACTTCACGGCAAGAGAGACTAGATAGCTAGATAGGTACATTGACTTTTCTTCTTATGTTTACTTTTCTGCCACGGTCCCCTTTGAAATGTAGACTGTGTTCTCAGGGACAATTTCCTTCCTTCCATTCTCTCTCAGATGAAGACGAACTCTCTCCCTGCATGCACCAAGAGGGACAACATGCTGTCCTCTCTTGGAACCAGTGTTCCTTCTAAGCTGAGTTAGTGTGAGCTAGCTCACAGTTTTTTAGCCTCCAGCTCACACATTTTTGTCTTAGCTCAGGAAGGATGGCTCCAGAGCAAACTAATTTTATGCAGCA